TCTTACGAGACATGTTTGGCACCGACCAGTCAAACAGCTTTGACCGCTCTATACGCCGATTATAGCTATAGCTCTGAGCGTACGTGTAGTCAGTCTTCGTTGAATCCCTAATCAATCATAAAATCAAGTTATCATTAATTTGCTAAATATTTGACAGACCTTTCGGGTGTCGATTGTCTCGAGTACTGGAGATATCGCTCGTTAATAAGATCACAGTTAATGTGAAAATTTAATGCAAACAAATTTATCAAATCATTTGCGCTAAAAAACAATATTTAATTTTATAAAAATATATATAAATGCAAATAAAATTGTTAAATACTTACGTATAATGAAAATCATTTGTATTTTTCTTATTCAAATCCATCGCAAATTTAATACCACTGAAAGGATGGGCAAAATCGACAGTTGAATGAGTTTTAATTACTGTTATAGATATTGAAGCAAAGAGTGAAGTGGCAAATGCTGTATAAAAATTTAATAAATAGTTTTATGATTATTAACAAAATATAATAAAATACTTGAAGTCTTAGCGGTTGTTATAAAACAATATCTAGTATTAACTAATTAATTGCTTAGAAATGGTAATGCCTTTAAATGGCACACAAATAGCACACAAATAAATGGTATTGTATTACAAATGAAAAGAAAAACTAAAAGTAAAACTTTCATCACTTTTTATCACTTGATTGCTATCAAAAAGGTTTACCTTTTTTCCATTGAAAAACGAGTTATTAGTTTTGGTTGCAATTCATCGTAAAGTGCATTGTATTAACGTTAACTGTTTGAATGAAAACGATTTATCGTTTGATTTTAATAAGAGAAAGGGATTAACAATTTAAAGGAAACGTTTTTATAGTTTAAAAGCAATTTATTTCACTTATAAAGTAATAAAAATATAATCAACAAAATTTTGTGTTTAAGTAATTATGTAATCATTTTGGCAATTAATACATTTAATTCATGGTAATTATCGATCGATTAAATATTTTTAAATTATCCATAATTAGTGCGTCTAATGACTGGATTTTCAGTCCATTAAATGGACTTTTAATTACAATAATACTTTTCAAAAGCCCTCGAAAGACATTCAAATGACTAAAACAAATAAAATACAATTATTTTATCATTAACTAGTAAACAAACCATTCACTCCATTCACACCGCAAACACAAACACGCGTTGCTATTATACACACTATAAAAGCATTACATAGTGTATATTTTATCGTGTGTAGTGTTTCACACAAACAATACACCGGATGCAAAACATCAAAAACAGTTACACCCATTTCCCCCAATTATGGGGGATGAGACGACAATAGCCAATCAGATTAGTAGAAAAAAACCTTATTATTTTATATAATAGATTATGTATTCAATTCATTACAAGAATAGGAACTAAAAAATAAAATTGGATTAAAAAACTTTTTTTTCTAATTCTAAATCACTTAATACTACAAATTAGTTGTTGTGTATCTCTTGTGGCAAAACAAGTGTACAATAAGTTATTTTTATATCAAAAATGTAGAAAATACTAAAAATTAATGACCGTTTCGTGATTACAAATAAATTAGTTGAAAATTTTCAATCGTTTTAATGCTTTGAAATTGTATTCAAAGACACGTAAAATGGTTGCGACAGAAGAACAGTTGCATCGGTTGAGGAGGGGTTGGGTGTGGGGTAAGGGCTGACAGTCAAAGCGATGGCCATCAACTCATGAGGTTTCCATTGGCGAAGATATTGTCGGGATCGACGTATTGCTTCACAGCCCTAAGCATACCCAGGCCTACGTTGGAAATGGTCTGTTCGAGCCATTGCTTACGTATTTTTCCGACCCCGTGGTGATGCGATATACTGCCACCCGTGGCAATGATCTCTTCTCGGGCCGCCGTCTCAATGGTCTCGTATACGTGGACCGGATCTCCGCCGGCGATGCCGTCCTGATAGTTGAACGCGAAGTAGAAGTAAACACAGGCGCCCGCGTCATAGGTCTGCGTGTATATAGACATCAATGGTTAGCAAAGACTGATCCATTGAATGATAAAGACATCTATTGATTGCAATCATACCTGAGTGACGCGACACGTGATGAGCGCCGGTTTAGTGGTCACGTATTTCTTCACTTCATTATTGAGCCGTTCCTTAACATTACGACACAAATCCAGACACCGATCCCACGGGACGGACGTCTCGAACGACTCGGAGACCACTCCATAGTCTAATCCCAAATCCTAGTTATAACACGAGGGAAAAAGATTAAAGATTTAGATTTAAAAAGTTTAATTAATTGTAGTTAAAACTAACCCTAATGTATGCGATAACGAATGTCAGTAGATATCCTCGCCGTCCGTTCTCTTCTCCGGCAGACATTCCTCCCAATTGTTCCGCAATCGCTATTATTTTCTCTTCGAGTCTCTCGACGTCCTCTTTATTGCCTTCCATGAGAAGCGTTGAAACACACATTTGGTTCACATCAAAGCCCTTGATTTTTGTCACGTAAAACTTCTTAAACCCGTCCACTATTGACTGCAGTATCGACGCGGCGCCCGGTTTTAACGCCTGACCTGAAGGTTGACACACAAAACATATATCACATTAATTAATAGTCGCCAAAAGCGGGGGAAAACTGACCAAAAATGAACTGCTCGTTATCCATGAGCCGAACGGACGCCGGTTTGAGCTGCTGTTTGGCCACTTCGCGCATGAATGCCACTCCCGTATCGAAATCGGGAAATATAATCGACCCGTATTTTTGGCACTCGGGCTGCGGCCGCACTTTGAGCGTCACTTCAGTGATAACACCCAGCGTTCCCTCCGAACCGAGTATGAAGTGATGAATGTCGGGTCCGGACGATATGCGGGGCACCTGACAGTTGCGCTCAACGGTGCCCTTCGGTGTCACCATTTTCACGTGAACCAGAATGTCTTCGATGTTGCCGTAAATGTTTTTCTTCATACCGGACGCCCGGGTGGCCACCCATCCGCCCAACGAACTGAACTCGTATGAGT